GCAGTCTTCAAGGACATACCTGAGGTTTGGCAGCACCTAACCTAGCCAGCCCCCAGGGCTGAGTCAGCAGGAAAAGATTAAGGACTTCCCTGGAAAAGCAACTGGGATCTTGAGGCATCCCCCACCACCTCCACGTTATCCCCTCCCAGGGCCCCAAGAGGGTGGAAGGTACTTTGTGTGCCTGGCAGGTCTGAAGCATGAAGGTTTGTGGGCAGTTGTAATCAGCCCCGACTCAGGCCAGCCAGGGTATCTGCGGTCAAGTGGATGGTGATAGGTGGGTCAAGGGGACACAGTGCACAGGAGTGCACAGGTGCACACAGCCTCTGTGTGGCCCTCTGGCATGGGCCTTTGGTTGAGGGTATGTCTGTCTGCCCTTGCCTATATACATGGCAAGTCTGGCCCCCTGCACTTTTGAGGTGTATCTGCCTATATGGCTGTGCCACCAATTGGGTGACAAGAAGTTAGCAGGGAAGTATAGAAAGTGCTACCTACCTACAGAGGATAGAGATGTGGTATGATGAGGAAGGTGTGACCTTGAGACTGAAGACAGGCAGTGTATGTTTCCCTGTATCCATCTCCAAAAGTTGTTGTCTGCTACTTCCCTGTTCACTGGGACCTTCTCCCTCCAACCTGCCCAGATCCCTGGACCCCAGGTATTAGAGTCTGCCCTGAGCTCCTGCCCTGGAAGGGGTCAGGCAGTGCAACATCAGCATTCACCTGGACTGCACTTTCCCACTGGCACCCTGCCTTTGTTTCCGCCATTAAAGTTCAAGTGTTTCCCCCTACCTGACTGAAGCCAGGTCTCCCCGCCAGGCTGTCTCTGGTCTTCGGGGTCTGAGACTGGGTCATATCCAACTCTGAGGACTGATGAGAGAGACAGACAGGGCCAGGGAAATGGTGGGTGGCCACGCCAGGTCCACGAGGCCCTGATAGAGGAGCCAAGGATGTTCAGCCAGGACAGGAGGTGGATGAGGAGGAGAGGGTGCTGGGCTGCTGGGTTTGGACACTGCATGGGCTGCCAAGTGGGAGGGAGCAGACCCTAGTTTCAGGAAAGAAACAATTTCCAACCTGAATCCTGCACCAGCTCCAAGGGTGTCTTTGTCATGAGACCCTGTATAAGCTTCTCCTTCTCCAGCATCTTCTATGGCTCCCTATCGCATGCCAAAGATAACTCAGACTTCTCTCAGCATTTAAGGCCCTGTTCACCTCCCTGTGTATCTACTCTCTGCTGCTGCCTTCCATGGAGGTTCCCCTCCTCCAGCCTTTGCATATACCTTTCCAGCTGCCTGGAATGCCTTGCTCGCCTGGCAAACTCCCACACATCCTTCAAGACCTGCTGCCTGGCTTGGCCCCTGTGGCTCAAGCGGCTAAGGCGCTAGCCACATACACTTGAGCTGGCGGGTTTGAATCCAGCCCGGGCCTGCCAAACAACAATGATGGCTGCAACCAAAAAATAGCCAGGCATTGTGGCGGGTGCCTGTGGTCCCAGCTACTTGGGAGGCGGAGGCAGGAGATTCGCTTGAGCCCAGGAGTTGGAAGTTGCTGTGAGCTGTGATGCCATAGCACTCTACCCAGGGCCACAGCTTAAGGCTCTGTCTCAAAAAAAAAAAAAAAAAAAGATCTGCTGCCTATGGCCCCTTCTCCAGGAAACATTGCTCTTTCTTTTCTTTTCTTTTTTGTTTTTCTGTAGAGACAGAGTTTCACTTTATCACCCTCAGTAGGGTGCCATGGTGTCATACTGCTCATAGCAACCTACAACTCCTGGGCCCCAGCAATTCTCCTGCCCTTGCCTCCGGAGTAGCTGGGACTACAGGCGCCCGCCACAATGCCCGGCTATTTTTTTGTTGCATTTCGGCCAGGCCGGGTTTGAACCCGCCACCCTCAGTATATGGGGTGGGCACCCTACCCACTGAGTCACAGGAGCCACCCGAAACATTGCTCTTTCCCCTCAGCCCACATTAGCTGTGTGACCCTGGGCAAATCCCTTCATCTGTGAAAGGGAGGTGGAAATCATCCTTCCTAAAAGCATATTTTGGGGCCCCAAGAAGATGAAGATACATTAAATGTCCTTAATTTGAATTAGGCCTTGGTGATGGGGTGGTTAGAGCAGCTTACACCTAGTCAGCACTCAATGTGTGTTCATTTTTATCTCTCTCCTCTTGGACTCTGCAGTTTTAAGACTCTTGTTTTAAACATTTTACTGTTCCAAGATTGTTCTCCCCATCATGATGCTAGGAATTTTAAGAACCCCTGGTTCTGAAATTATAAAAGCCTGAAATGCCGTGAGTGGGATCAAGAGCCTTCTTGTGCCCTGAGCTGACCCCAGGGTGACTGGAGCTGGGGTCTTTATGGGAGGCTGTCATGCCCCTTCACATCCCTCAGACTGAGAGGGTGTAGCCTGGCAGCCTGAGTTTGGTGGGGGGAGGGGGCAATGGATTTATCAGGCAGCAGATGCTTGCCCAAGTTCCAGTAGGAGGAGTTAGGATGCCTGCCTCAAATGCTACAATAAAGTAATAACAAGCAGTGTCAAGAGGCACAAGACTGTCAACTCAGAGTAATAGCTTCCTTCTCCTGGAGCCTCAGTTTCCTCATCTGGAAATTGAAGCCCAAAGCTGCCCTCTTGCAGAGCTATTAGCATAGGTAGGGAGGGACTAGGGCTTTAACTTGGGTTGTACCATCCTCCTGCAATGTAGCCTGGCCACAGCTGCTGGAGAGGGTGCTTCTTCGTGGTGATGCCCACTCAACCCTCCTCCACCCTAGAGAAGAGAACAAGGGCCGGGCCAGCTGCCCATCCCAAACCCTGCTGGCTGCCCCAGGCCTGGCAGCAGCTGAGGTCCCAACACTTCCTCAATGAAAGGTATTTGGCCATGGAGCCTGACACCTCATCACCATCAGCCTGGATGCTGCAGCCAGTTTTGTCCTGGGCTGCAGGGGGAGGCCCCACATTCCCACCACTCCCCAGGACCCCACTGGGCATGCTTGAGCAGGGCTCTGGAGCATGCAGTCCTGGAGTTTGGGTTGCCTTGGAAGAGGGCCTATAGCCCCTGAAGCTTCCTATCATCTAAGAATGTAGAACTTATCTAAGTTCTGAATAAATGCATGTGTTCTTGTGCCTGCCAGCTCCCTTGCAGCCTTGAAGCATCTCCCCTCTCTTGTCCATCACAGGCTCTCTGGGGTGAGGCCAGGGTGCCAAGGCCTGGGGCCTCTCAAACCCGGACTCTAGCAGAGCCCCAGGGCCCACCTTGAGAGACTGGCAGTGAAGTCCTTGAATTTGCCAGCTTCTTCCCATCTGTTCCTCCAGGCCTCTAAGTCCAGCCTAGGGCATGGGAAGATTTTCCCAGAGGAAGAAATGGCTGCAGAGGTTGGGGCCTGCCAAGGTTAAGCCAAGATGGAGAAGAGTTAAGAGATCTGTGGACTGAGCACTGACCCTCAGGGTATGTTGGAGTCTGCATATGTGAGCTCATTTCCCCCACCAAAAGGCCTAATGTTGTTGGCACAGAGCTGAAGCCTCTAAATGCCGATAGGATGGATTAGGGGGTATGGTGAGGTAGGTGAGAGTATAGGTGGGTGATTGAAGAGGAAGTAGGTAGGTGGGTGTGCAGAACCCTACCCCCGACTCCCTGCCCGCACCCCTTCTCTGGAATTGGTCAGCCAGGGACAAGTCTCCCAGCCCAGGCCCCTTGGAGGCCCCTCAAATCATACCACATTGATGCCTTCCAGGAACCAATTAGGGGAGTTTCACACATGAGCTACCAGGGGCTCAAAGATGCCAGGCCATCTGGGAACCCCTACTCTTGGCAGATTCATGTCAAGGCCCAGGGCCTCAGTTTCTTTGCTTGGAAAGGGGGGGCATGTGATCAGAACAGCACCTGTCCTGTGAGGTACCAGGAAGACATGTATATATGCACACAGAATGCCAGCCAAACATGGTTCCCTTCCCTCTAGACAGAGGGTCCTGGCAAGGTCAGAGAGTCAGGAGGCCTCAGGAGAGTCAGGCCTCAGCAGCTCTGCCACCACGTGGCTGAGGTGTGGCTGGGGTGAGGCTGGCAGTGCTGCAACCCAGCTGAGGAAGTCCAGGGCAACCTCAATCTCTGCTGCCTGCTCCAGACATTCCCCTGCCAGGCCCCTCCCTGCCTGCCACAATCCTCAGGCATATGGCCAGGTGCAGACAAGGAGGCCAGGCTAGGGCAGTGGCTGCTATTGTGTTCACCAGTTATAGCCACACAGGCTCAGGCAGCTCCTGAGTGTCTCTGCATAGCTGGGATCTACCCATTTGTCCAAGAATGCCCTTGGGGGCCCTCTGAGCTACTTGTACTTGAATGTCCCCATGTGCCATGGTGTGTGTCTGCCTGTGCAGATACATCTGGGTCAGGCAGCCCCAGCCTCCAGCCTTCTGCCCCAAAGCCTGACACCACGAGTTGGAAATAAAGCATTTTTAATCAAGCCCTAGGAGGATCAGCCCCAGCCTCCTGGGGATCTCCAAGCACCAAACACATGAGAAATGTTTCCCCCACCCAGTCCCAGAGCCTCCCCTGCAGGGGGACCCAAAGAAGCCCCTTCCCCACTTTCACTGGGCCCAGCCTGGACCCCCTACTCACACCCACAACCACCCCCCACGCTTTGTTTCAATAAATAACCCCAGGAACAAAGCTTGGGGCAGGGGACCCGATAAAGTATGAAGCTCCACAGCAGGCAGGTAAAGAGAGCTACCTGACAAACATCAGAAATCCTAAGGGCAGAATATTTGAAATCAAGGTCAAAATACACATGAAAGTCAGAGACGGATTTTGAGCTGGATGTGACTCCCTCCAAGCCTGGGCTGGATGTGGGCCCCACAGTCTCTCAGGGTGCTGTCTCCAAGTCAGAGCTCACTCCATGTCATGTCACACAGCAACAATCCCCCTCTGCCTAGAATTTCCACCATCAGACACTCCCAGTTCTTGTCTTGAATCCAAATCCTGGCAGGGGAGGGGAAAAGGGACCCAGAAGAGGGGGCCATCTGGGGAAGAAAGAGAGGGTAATACTTCCCAGAGACAGAGGAGTCCTGAGAGAAGCAGGAAAGCCACCAAAGGCCCAGGTCACTGCCGGACCCTGCCCCTGCGGGTGCGGAGGGTACCCAAGGCCCGGGCCCGTGCCCGGGACACCTCACCCATCTCCCTGCGGATGTCTCCAAGCGCGGTCGCAGGGGACTCTAGGAGCCTTTGGAAGAGGCTAGGCCGGCCAGGCAGTGGCTCCCGGCACTGGAAGGTGACAGCTGTGCCGGCATCCGCCTTCATCTCTCTGGAGAAGCCATCAGAGGAACCATCAAAACAGCGACCAATGGCAATCTCTTTGGCCAGCCTGGGGCTCTGGTCAGTGACTGTGTAGACACCATAGTTGTGACCCAGAGGGTCCAGGGGCGCCAGCATGGCAAAGGTGGCCGGGTCGTCAGCAGGTATGGGTGGGGGATGCCGTGCCAGGTAATCCCGAAGGAGCCCATTGACGGCCACACGGCGGCAGCTGCCCTGGGGCATGATGGTCACCAGCGTCCTGTCCACCTGACGCTGATCAAACAACATCCCACTGCACTTGAATTCTACGCAGGCAGCTGAGATGCCGGGACGCTCGAGGTCGCGCACGCTGCGGGCATCACGCAGCCCGTAGAGCTGGCCCCGGGTATGCGGGTGGCTGCCTCCTGCGTTGTGGGAACGGACCATGTACTCCTGGGGGCCCTGGATCTTCACCTTGAGGAAGCAGGCCCGGAACTCCTGCGGATTGGGCCACCAAGCCAGGAGATCCCCTGTCCAGGAAGCTGGCGCACCCTCGCGGAAGGGGACCACATTGTACTCGTACTTGTCCGCCTCCACTCTGGCAAAGCGGAAGTGGCTGGCGGTCACCGGAGCCCCCTGGCATTCCCGCAGGCTGCGCCACGGGTACACGGGCCCATTGGCCTCGTCTGGGTGGCCTGGCCTGGGTTTTGCGAGGTTGATGCGGAAGCCGTTGCGTTTGAAGGCTGGGTCGTCATGGTCGGTCCGGCGGTACCCCAGCCTGTCCAGGTAGGGCTGGGAGACACCCACGGTGCCTGGGAGCGGCCTGGGCAGGGAAGGGGCAGGCTCCAGCTCCTCACCGCCCAGGGTGGCTGTGATGAGGGCCGTGTAGGCATCGGGCCGCTCCTCATCACAGAAGGCAGGGAGGCAGGCACCGTTGGGGCCAGTGACGGCGCTGTCAAAGCGGCCCCAGGCGCGGGGGTTGGCAGAGAAGCCAGGGGCGGGCTCCAGGTTGACCAGTGTGACCACCACACCCTCCACCTGCTCGCTGGGGGTGAACTTGTCATTAACATAGGCGCGCACCTTCACGAAGCAGCGGCGGCGCTCGGGCACGTCTAAGTTGAACAAGCGCCGCTCCCGAATCTCCACGTTGCCCACCAGGAAGACGCGCTCCTCACGGCGGACCCGGTGGCCCGAGGACCCCTCCAGCTGGAAGCCACTCTCCTCCTCCCACAAGCCGGTCTCGGGGCTCAGTGACCACAGCTTGAGAGCCTCCTTGTGGCCTGTCATGCGGATCTGGTCGGAGGCCACACGCACGACCACAGGCCCTGCCTGCAGCTGCTCCATGGAGCCCGGGGCTCGGAGGTCCACCGAGAACATGCCGTAGGTGCGCAGTGGGGCTAGCTCACCGTCGCTGTCCACGAAGCGCAGGTCACTGGGGGCGGCAGCTGCGGAGGTGAGGTCTCGGGGGTCCACAAAGGTCACCCGGGCCTCCACAGGCCCTGTGTAGGGTTTGCCATCTGCTCTTCGAAAGGTTCCAGGTGGCAGGACCAGCTCGCCCATGGGTGCCTCATCTTCTAGGTCACCCAAAGGGATCGTGTTGCTCTGGCTGGCATCTAAGATGACTGGAGCTTTCTTCCGCATGGCCTTGATCTCGTGGTACACTCCAGCACCTCGAGGGTCAAAAGGCAGGACCCGGACTGTGTCCATGAACTCACCACTAGGGTCCACAAAAGTCACCACCAGGCGGTCAGTAGAGGGTGGTACCTCAATAGTGAAGTCGCCTTGGTAGGAAGTGAAGCCAATGGGCTCCCTGCCCAGCAGGATCCTGGCAAAGCTGAGTGGCTCCCCAGAGTCAGTGGCCACTACATGGCCCCAGACCAGCCCCCGAGGAGGCAAACACTTCTGGCAGCCGCACTCAGCCACCACCTTCACAGGGAGGATGTAGCCAGAGCAGTGGATCTCCCTGCTATCCAGGCGGCGTACAGAGCAACAGCGGGAGCTGATGTCCCCACACCGGGGACCCAAGTCTGCCTGGCTGGGACAATGAGTGTCAGGGCAGAGGCCCACATCCAGGTAGGTAGGGCCACTACCAGGCTCCCCACAGTCATCTGGGAGCTTGATCAGGTATTGTTGGGGCTGGGGGTCACAGGCTGACTGGCCTGGGGCTAAGGAGCAAGAAAATAGCTAGGTTATGACTGGGGAGAGGGCACTATGGAGGCCAAGGCTAGAGGCTCAGTCTAGGGTCAGGGGTCAACCCAGTTGTGGGGTATTAGCCCAGGGTAAGGACTGGAGGTTGAGGCTCAGCAGGGGCCTAGGATTGCACTCAGCTGGGTTAGAGGTCAGTCTGAATTTGGGGCTTCATTTGGGGTTAAGGCTTAGCTGTGTTAGGTTGTGTTCAGTGCAAGGGTTTGGTAGGGCTGAGGACACTCACCAAGCACAGTGAGCCAAGCGGTGCCCGAGCGTGCAGTGCCTGCTTCATTCCATGCCTTGCAGTGGTAGATGCCAGCTTGGTCTGGGTGTAGCCCCTGCAGCTCCAGATGGGCCCCATACCTGTGTGCTCGCCTGTCTAGCAAGGTCCCGTTGTGGAACCTGGGTCGTGGGTGGACAACCCCACAGGGCTCAGGGGACGGACCAGGGAGCTGCAGAGCAGCTTCCCTAGGATAAGCCTCCTTGGTAGTCCCTCTCCCATGCATTCGCACCCCCCCAAAACATTCCCCACTATCAGGTGTGATACTGAGGCTGGCATCTACCTCTAGACTCTCTTTGAGGCAAGCACATAATCACAGGAAATCCAATCTATCCCCAAAGCCAGACAAGGAACCTCTTCTTCCCTGGGGCAGGCACTCACCAGGAATATTTCTTGGGCGTAGGGGTCCCTGCGGCTTTGCAGCAGAAGGTGACATTCTGGCCAGCCTCTAGCACTCGGGACTCAGGGTGCTTCACCAGGTAGGGCTTTTCTGTGGGGCAAAGGAAGAAAAAGATCAAGGCCCTGCCCTAACTCAGCTTCTCCCAATGACCTTTCCCCAAAGCAAATCCCCATCCTCTCCCTTCTCCCAGGGATGCCTTAGTTCACCCCACACCTTCTCCAATGGCTGTGTTACATGTTATTTCTTGCTCCTATACCTGAATTACTGAGATTTCCTCCCCAGTTCTTCAGCCCCATTATATTCGTTGTTGCAAGGTCACTTACGCAGTTTATCAAGGATGATGGTGACCACCGAGATGGAGCCATTGGCCTGGGCTTTGGCCATGCCTGCAGAGAAGCCATCCATCTGGGCTCTGACATTGGCCTGGCTCTCAGCACACACCCCAAGGATCTGGAAGGTTCCATGGGCATCGCTGGTGGCCATAATACCACGCTGGTCTCTCAGGGAGATCCTGGCTCCTGGCAGTGGTTGCCCCGATGTGGTAACCACAGAGCCCAGGAGGATGTGGTCAGGGCACTCGCAAGTGTCAGGGCTGCACCCTGGGGAGACACAGGGAGGCAGCAGGGGCAGAGGTGCTTCTACCTCCTTCCTAGGGAGGGCTTTGCTCAGTCACTCAACAATCACACCTGAAGCCCTCCCATATTGTGCCCCTCAGGGTCTTCAGCAGGGCCTGGCTTGGAGCAACCCCTAGTGTGAAAGGGGATTTAAGGCCCAGGGATATGCCAGAGGAGTGGAACTAGAGTCTAGAGAGGTATGGGAAAGGCTCTGGAGGAGGGGACAGGCGAGGTGAATCTCAAAAGATGGAAAGGGGCAGGAGAGAAAATGTCTAGGCAGGGGCTGGGGGCCCAAAGAGGGCTGCTTTCTTGGGCTGAGAACATTTCCCTCCCCTCCCAACCCCATGGTTTCTCCAGAAAATGGAAAATTCCACCGGAAACTTCAGGGCAGAGGCACTGGGAGGGCAGAGCCAGGCTGGATGGGGTGGGGACCCCAACGCTCCATTGGCCACCCTGCGCCCCCACCCTGTGGCGGACTCCGCGGGAGCAGTCTCCAGACCGTGTTTGTGGAGCCCAAGTAAGCGGAATTTCCAGTCGCCTCCTGGCTGGCCTGGTGTCTGGCCCTGGGAGGGCCTGGGCATCGTGTCTGCCAGTGTGTGAGCGCGTGTCTGCGTGGGCGTGGGGGACTGGAGGGATCTGTGAATGCCACGCACGTGTGCACCCTGTAAGTGTATGAACTGACTTCTATTTGCCCACAGGACATATGTACACTTGAGCAAGCACACAGGGGAAGCACCCTCTCTGATTTGCCCATGTCTGCCTGCACACGACCCCCGTGGCGTCCACTTGTCCAGATAGGCACATTCACCAGTGCTACTTGGGCCCAGGAGGAAAGGCCAGTCTTCACTTGGCTCCAGAGTTCAGGTCCTCTAGACCCCGCCCCAACCAGCCCCTACCCTAAGTACTTTCCTCAATAGGGACCGCCCCTCCACGTCTAGGCCCCGCCTCTACCCCAACCTTCTCCAGGCCCCGCCCCTTCTACCTGGGCACCGAGGCCGCACACACTTTTGGGCCTCCAAGGTACGCCCGGGACACTCATCCCCAGCAGGGCTCGGGCAGTGGCGGCGGCGCAAGCGACGGCCTGGCCCACAGCTTCCTGAGCAGGGACCCCACGGGCCCCATGCACCCCACGCCGTCTCTGCGGAGGGCAAGGACAGAGATCAGGCACCCGCCCTCCCCAGGAACCACGCGTCCTGGAAACCTGGTGACAATGCGGCACTGAACCCCCCCCACACACACGTGCATCCTAGGTTAGGCACTTCCAAAGAGCAATCCTGCCCACCCCCTACGCGCACCAGTTCTAAATGCAGTTCAGGTACTGCCTCTCCGCTCCCTCAAATAAACTCCTCGAAATTAGTTTTTAGTCCTGTTATTCTCTCTGCGTTCTGTACACATTTGGATCTCAAGACTCGCTAGGTCTCCTTGCAATGCACCTGGGCCGCATTTTGTTCCCAGTTCTTACCTCAAAAGCTCCGCCCCTGCATGGCCCCACACCCTCATTGGGCCCTACTCCTTGTAGGGTCCCAGCTCTAGCCACTCTCGACATGGCCCAGCCCCAACAGCCCACCCTTTCAGGTACCGCCCACCTGTGACCCATCCGCAATTTAGCCAGCACCACTATCTCTAGCCCCACCCCCATCTCCAAAGCCCCCACCCCTCAAGGCCCCGCCCTCACCAAGCGGGCAGCGGAAGCGCACGTGGTAGTTGGAGCAACGGCGGCTGCGCGGCTGCTCCCGGTTGAGGCACCAGAAACCGCGCGTGGGGTTTAAGTGCACACGCTCGCCGACGGCGGACGGAAGCTCCCAGTTAGTGGTGCGCGCTTCCAGCGCCAGCGGCCGTGGGCATACACGTGCTGGCCCATAGTAGAAGCGGATGGCTGCCAGGCTCTCAAAGTCGCCATCGCCTCCAGGGTGGTCCACGTTGAACCAGGATGTCCACTCGCTGGCCTCTGCGAGCACCACACTCGCTGGGACCCAGGTTGCGGCCTGTCGGCCCCCTTCGGTGCATGCAAGGGCCTTATCTCCCCCGACTGGCACCCGCTAGCCTAGCCTAGGTGTGACTTCCCCAACCCCAGTCCCAGTTCTGTTGGCCAGTGCCTGAGCTGGCCCATTCATGCATGTCTCTTACTTATGCCTCTAACTTAGATCTCAGGGCATTACATCCAAGGCTGCCTTGCCCAGGGACCACGAAAGTCCTGGGCCCTTCACCTAGTTTGTGTCCCTCCTACTCCTCACACAATCCCACCAGCCCAAGCTCACACACCAAGTTTACAGCACAGATGGGACTCTGACCCAGGCTGACTCACCTTCCCAGTCCTCCAGGGCTGGTGAGGGCTGGCCAGGGTGCACAGACCGTCCTTCTAGGTCCGATGCTGTCCCGGTGGGCTCCTGGGAGGAGGCGGTGTCTATGGGAGGGGACAGGAGTGGGGGAAGGAAGCGCCTAGTGCAGATGGCCAGGAGCCTCCTCTTAGGCAAGGTGGACCCATGATCATCCTCATTTTACGAAGGAGAAATCTGATGCTCTGAGAAGTCAGAATCCAGGTCTAGCTGGGGATTGCAGCGCACCCTTATCTAGGATGCCTGCCCATAGCCACCATCCAGACTCCTGCAGCCTGGTCCCTATCTCTGATCTAGTCCGAATCCCATGGGCTGGGGAAACTCTGTTGCCTGATCCAGATCTCCCCCTCAGTGTGTTTAACTTTCACAAATTCAGTTTGCTGTTCTTTTGCCCTAGACCTGGGTTGCATCCCCCATCCATTTGGCCAGCTGGAAGTCCTTCCATCCCTCTACTAGGTCCCAAGCCATCTGTCGGAATTCCTTGGAATCTAGCCTGGCTTTTCCAGCCAGGAGCTGTCCAAGATAGCTCAGACAGAGTGATTATCTCAGACCAGTCCCTTCCTCTTCGGAGCCTCAGTCTCCTCACCTGAGAAATGAGCCCGTCCCTCGCCCCACAAGTGTTCCAAAGATGGGCATTTCTTGTTAGTGTGGGTGAGTGGGTGGTGGGAATTAGACGTATGTGGGGAGACAGCATTGACCCCTTTGGCCAGGGCAGGAGACCTGGCGATTGGAGGTCCAGTCGCGCGGGGCTGGATCAAGCACCCTTCAGCGGGTGGGAACCCAGAGGAACCCGAGGTTCATATCCGTTTTCCTGGTATCCCTACTGTGTCTTCGCTTTAGGAAGAGCGCCAGGATGTCTCTGGGCTCCATCTCCCCATCGCCACCCCCTCCCCGCATCTCCCTGCTGGTGAAGGGGACCCAGTCCCCAGGAAGTGCGCGGGTCTTCCGGGAGCGGCTGTACGCGAGGCCGGCTGCCAGGCCTTTGGAGGCTGGGCTGCGGTCTCGTGGTACCTCACCTCGGGTCCCCACTAGATGCGCGACGGCGACACAGAGACAGAGCAGTGGCAGTATTGAAGCCATGGCTGGGCCGAGCGTCCAAGGGAAGATCCAGGCTCCGCAGCACACTCGTGTGGGACTCTGGCGGGTCTGGAGGCCGGTGGGACTGAGGGCGGGGGCGGGATGCAACTGCAGGCCCCTCCCCGTCCAGGCCCCGCCCTCTGGCCCCGGGTGACTGGAGCTACCGCAACCCCTCTGGGTTGCCCCCCTCAGTGTGTCCAGCTATGCCTCCGCCCTTAGGCTGGCCTGGGTTCCCCGTAGCCCTTTGGAACTCCTCCCCGAGCCCACCCTCCATTCTCTAAGTTGGACCCAGGCTGCCTGCGGGAAGTGCCACTTGGAATTTGAGACTGAAGCTGCTTGGACCTTCATGTTTTAGGCTGCTGGAAGTCCTCGGTCCCGTCTAACTTTAATCCTATCGGCTTTAAGCCAGCCCGAGCAGTCTGGGAATCCCACCCTGAACCTACCCTCCATTCTTCTGGCTCGAGTTTTCTAGGAGACCAGCGGGAGGTCCCCTCTACAACTACTCTCCGTCCCTCCGGGGACGGTGGGAAGTCCTTCCTCGAGCTTGCCCACTCCAGCAGCGGCCCGGCGCAAAAAGGAGGCAGAGGCGAGGTGGTGTGGGAAAGGCTGTTTATTGGTTGGGGTCCAAGCAGCGTAGGCGCGGGTAGCGGTCACAGAGCCGCCACGCAGTCAGTCCCGGTGTATCCCGGCAGGCGCAGAGCGAACTTGCGGCGTACGTCGTCGGGTACGAACCTGCCAGCCACGAAGTGGTGGCGCCCAGAGAAGCGGCCGGCGCAGCGCTTGGGCGCGGCGAGCGACACTAGCACGTCGGGCCGCAGCCCGTCTTCAGCGTCGCAGCCAGTCTCGGCGTCCCAGCCTGAGGGAGGATTGGGCGGAGGAATCCGGAGCTACTCTCAGACTAGAATCCTGCCCCTATCTCCCCTCCCCTCGACACTGTCTCACCCTCTCCTTGTAGGTGTTTCCTTCCCTTTCTCTGACCCAGGCTGTTTTCAGCCATGATTTCCACTACCTGCTGCCCTCTCTCAACCAGAGCCATGCCTCTGCCTTCTAACCTGGCATCTTTCCCTCTACCTCCCTGCCCATCCAATTGAGCCTTTGCCTTAGCCTAGAGAGCCTCCTCCCCTCCAGACCTCCCAGCCAGACCCCAGACCCCGCCTCTGACTAGATCCCCACCCTCTACTCAGACAATAAACTTGACCACATACTGAGAAGCCTCCTCCATCAGACGTGTCTCCTTGCCCCAAGTTCTTTCTTCTAACAAGACCGTACCCCTCCCCTCTCTGACTAGAGACTCATTTTTCTAACTGGAGATCCATGCCCTTACCCTCCGACTAGATCCTGCCTTTTAACTACGGAGGACCCTGTCCCCTTCCTCATTGGGCTGCAGCCTCTGTCACCTCTCCAGTAAGCCTCCACTTGCAGTCTAGCAGCCTCAACTTCTCTCCTGACTCTGACCTGATTCTAGCAACACTAACCAGAAGGCACTGGCTCCTCTCTCTGACATTAATCCTTTGACTCTAGCCTTCACCCTCAGGCTAGAGGCCCCTTACAGTGGCCTCTGACCTGTCAGGTCTACCCTCTCTGTCCTAAGCTGAGCCTGCATTCTCTCCCTAAGATCAGACAGCCCACCTCCTCCCTTAGTGCCCCTTGCCCTGTAGCACCCCACTGGGATGGCTTTGGAATCCCAAAAGCTGGGGATCATCCCTCAGAGTCCAGCCACCCCCACAGAGGGTCCGGCTGGCCAGCAGCTGTTTGTTCCATCTGCCTGTCGCCTAATGGCTCCAACAGGCATGGGGCGGCGGCCAGGGCAGGCGCGGCCTTTGCCGAGTGAGCTCACGTCTGCCCAAGCAACTGGGCCAGGGGGTGGGCAGAGGGCATGAGGGCTGGGCACATGGGGAGGAGAGGAACTGGGGTCACCTGGGGCAGTGGCCTTGGTCTTCCCCACCCACAGGATGCATGTGACCCTTGGCTGCAGCCAGAGTATATACTTCATCCATGCTGGGGAAACTGAGGTTCAGAGCAGGCAGATAGGTGCGGGCCATCAGAAATTGGGACATGGGGGTCTCCACCCAAACCCCCAAGACCCCAAGTTATGCTCCCCTGAGCCCAGCATGCCTGAGGGAATGTCCAGGCTCACGAGGGGTATGGACAGCAGCTTGAGTGTTGCCAGCGCACGGGTACAGGGGTCTCCAACCTTGCCTGGCTCCACACCCGGGCCCAGCACGGCATCCACCACTAGCCCATAGGCTTCATTAATGAGCTGCACCTGGAAGGGTGGGCAGAATCAGGGAGTGGCCCTGGGGCGCCATCTCCCACCTCCACCTTCATATGCCACCCAGCACTGACCTCGGTGGGCAGGTAGGACAGAAAAGGGATGTCCATCTTCTCACACTGGGTGGTCAGGTCCCGGTGCAGCAGGTCAAGTGAGCGTGTAGGGTAGAAGATGGTTGGCTCATACTCCTGGGAGTGCAAAGAATGGTCAGCACTGGGGCCCAACCAGGCTCCCCTGACCTTGTAACCTGGGACAAACACTGGGCATATCCTGTAACCTATCCCACCATCAATGTCCCCCTGGAATGCAAGAATGATTTCTTCAGGGACAGGAACCCAGGAAGCCAAAGGCAGCCTTGCTACTCACAAACACCAGCAGGTGCCGGGCACAGACCAGCCCCACTGCCCCATTCTGCTCCGGGCCACACACAACTAGCACTGTCCTCTGCTTCCGGGAGAGAGCTGACAGAGGGAACACCTGGTGGGAAGCACAGCAGAGGAAGGGGCACAGCATTTGACATACCTCTTTGCTCAAGTGGGAAAAATGAGGCCCAGAGGAGGGGAAGGTACAGGGCTTGGGCCTGGGAGCAGTGGAATAGGATAAGAGGAGAGGCATTCTGGGTGAGGGGCTGGGGCTCTTGGGGCCTCAGTTTCCCTGATGGAGACACAGAGTCCCTGTTTCAAGCTCTCCCAAACCAAAGCAGGAAAAATGTGCATCCAGCCACTGCCCATCATCCAGCCACTGCCAGTCTCCTGGATTGAGGTTTGTTTATTCTTTGCCTGAGTCGCAGACATTCTTCCACCTTTTTCCACCACAGTGGCTGCCCCTCCCCCACCCATGTTTCCAGACTTCAGCCCTTTCTGGAGGCCCCAAAGTGCCTGGTACTTCTCTTTCTGTGTCTGTCCTATGTCTCCTGGTATCTCTGACTCCATGTCTCTGTCTCCTTCTTTCAGACTCTGTATTCTCTCTGCCTCTATGGACATGTACTTCTCTTTCTCTCTAACCCAGGTGGTTGGATCCCAACTTGCCCTGACTCTGTGCTCCCCTGGGCTCTCTCCTCTTCTGGTCTCAGTTTTGCCTCTATTAAATGGGCGTGACAATGGCACCAAGCAGACAGTCACGTGGGGCAACTCTTGCATCCCAATGAGGCTCCAGGGGCCCTGGCTCCAACCACACAGAGGACAAATGATCTTGTTTTTGAGTCTTCTCCCCTCAGTTCCAGAGCCATCATGACATGCCATGAATATGCATGCGACCCTAGCCACACCAGGCCCAGAGTCCAAGACCTAAGACTGTGTCCTGCTGGCCACTGACTGGGAATTAAGAGCTTCTGGATGGGCCATGGGCTTTCAGTGCAAAAACTGGACATTTGCACTGAGAGCCAAGACAGAATTTAACATACTGGGTTTCCTTTTTACAGTTTCCTTCTCCTTTGGGCATCCCGCCCAGGATATGTTTCACTTGGAAATATAAACATTTAAGTTAAGAAAAGCTAAGAAATTGAGTCCCCATAAAAAAAAGATACTAAGCTTTGGGTGGTGCCTGTGGCTCTAAGGAGTAGGGCGCCAGCCTCATATGCCGGAAATGGTGGGTTCAAACCCAGCCCCGGCCAAAAACTGCAAAAAAAAAAAAAAAAAGCACTTCTCTGGGGTGCGGTGGCTCACGCTTGTAATCCTATCACTTTGGGAGGCCAAGGAGGGTGGATTGCTGAGCTGGGACTACAAGTGCCCACCACAACGCCCGCCTATTTTTTTTGGTTGCAGTTGTCCTTGTTGTTTAGCTGGTGCAGGCCAGGTTTGAACCCTCCATCCTTGGTGCATGTGGCTGGTGCTGTAACCACTGTGCTCCAGGCGCCAAGCCAAAGAGGGGCTTCTTGAGGCTCAGCGCCTGTGGCTCAAGTGGCTAAGGCACCAGCCATGTATACCCAAGGTTCAAATCCAGCCCAGGCCCGCCAAACAACAATGACGGCTACAACCAAAAAATAGCCGGGCGTTGTGGCGGGCGCCTGTGGTCCCAGCTACTTGGGAGGCAGAGGCAGAAGACTCGCTTGAGCCCAGGAGTTGGAGGTTGCTGTGAGCTGAGATGCCACAGCACTCTACCCAGGGGGACAGCTTGAGGCTCCTGTCTCAAAAAAAAAAAGGGGGGGGGGCTTCTTGAAACCTGGGCCCTCCTAGTCCTTCTGGGTGGGTTGGCTATCTGGTGTTGGGGTCAGGGATCAAGTACCTTGGTCACAGCCACAGCACTAGCATGACCGCACAACTCCACTAGTTGCTGCCGCCCAAAGCGATAATCCTCTAGCAGCTCCCGCTCCAGGGCAGCTGCCTCGGCTGTGCTGAGGAATAAAGTAGGAAGAGACATTCAAATACAGAGACAGAGAGAGAGGCCTAAAGACAGGCTCAAATGGAGCCAGAAACATTCCGCCAACGTTCCACGCCAGGTCCAGAAGTCACTGCCCACCCTCTTCCCCAGAGCAGCTTCTGCAGCTCTGAGTTGTGGATCCTCCCTCAGTTTCCCCACTTGACAGATGAAATCCAGGGCGCGGGCGCCCTCTGGTGGTAAGAGATGTGCATGGCGGCTCATGTTGATTCTATCGCTCCAAAGTAGGGAGTGACCCAGCCCAACCTGGAAGCTGCCGGTCCCCCAGGGAACAAGATGTGGCAATGGAGCGTGAAGGATTCGATGGGGGCAGGTGATGGACTGATTTCAGACAGTGTGGATCACTGAATGAGCTTCAGGACGCTGCAGGGGTCAGACTGTACTGACTCTTAAAGGCTGCAACGGAGTTTGATGGCTCACTCTGGGAGATGGATGTGAGGCCTGCCGCTATGAAACCTTTGGTGACCCTTCTTCAAGGCAGAAGAGATGGAGCCCCCTTACTGGAGGCGAAGCTCTGCCACCCACTTCACTGTGTAGACAATTGGAGTTTGTCTCTCTCTTGGAGCAAAATTGGAGGTAGGATGGGGGCTCTTGTTAAAAATCATTGAAAATGTGGCTCGGTGCCCTTAACACAGTGGTTATGGTGCCAGCCATGTACACTGAGGCTGCCGGGTTTGAACCTGGCCCAGCCCAACTAAGAAATAATGGCAACTGCAACAGAAAAATAGCTGGGCATTTTGGTGGGCACCTGTAGTCCCAGCTACTTCAGAGGCTGAGGCAAGAGAAATGCCTAAGCCCAAGAGTTTGAGGTTGCTGTGAGCTGTGACACCATGGCACTCTACTGAGGGCAACATAGTGAGACTCTGTCTCAAAAAAAAAAAAAAAAAAGAGAGAAAAATGTTGGCCAAGCACATTGACTCACGCCTGTAATCCTAGCACTCTGGGAGGCTGAGGGAGGTGGATCGTCTGAGCTCAGGAGTTTAAGACCAGCCTGAGCAAAAGCAGGACCCCATCTCTACTGAAAATAGAAAAACTAGCTGGGCTTTGTGGTGGGCACCTGTAGTCCCAACTACTTGAGAGAATGAGGCAAGAGGATCACTTGAGCCCAAGAGTTTGAGGTTCTCATGAGCTATGACACACAGCACTCTAGCTGGACGGACAGAGTAAGACTCTGTCTCAAGAAAAAAAAAAGTTAAGATGGTGATGGCAGAACATTAAATCAAGTGTTGGGACTTTCTAAGTATAAGGATCATGCCAGCCCCAGCTGAGGCTTACCATGGAGCATAGGTTTAGTGGCTGGAGAGAGCGAGATGACACTGAAGTTGGCCCTCACCTCAGAATTGAGTTGGGGCTGCTAGGGCTGTGGTCTAAGGCTTAATGCCACCTCTCCCAGGCAGGATCCCCTTCCTTTTCTGCTGAAGAATAGCACTTACTTCCTTACTCTCCAGCTCAGCAGAAACTAGGGACTGTAGTAATAAATAATAAAGGAACCAGGCCCAGAAGAATTGGAAGAACAACTAATGACTCAGAGAAGCCAAGTGGCTTGCCCAGGGTCACGCAGGAAGCAAATAGGAAAGCAAGGACTTCTCCCCTCTGTCTGTCTCTAGAGCCTCAGGGCACGAGCAGACACAGAACCAGGGGTTTTGGGGAATGAGTCCTAAGGAGTTTCACTGTATAATTCTGTGAGTGGGAAATGACAAATATCTGGCCAATTCTGCAGCATGATCAGGTAGGGTAGGCATGGGAACAAGGACTGATGTAGGACAGGAATCAGGGAGTACACAATCCTCCTGGAGGAGGACTGGAGCATCATGGTTTATCCAGGTGGTAAGAAAAGCAAGGACAAAGTCCCTGTGGTGGGAATGAGTCTGGTATATTCAAGGATCAGGAGGGAGGTCAGGGTGGCTGCAGCCATCAGCAAGAGGACAGGACAGGGAGGGCCAGAAATGCCAGACTGACATTGCCTGTCAGGCAACATGGCCAGGAAGACACTTTGGGAGATAGAGGTTCAGGGCTGGGAAATCACATGTCCTGGGCCACCCCAACAAACAGAGCCAGATTCAAACCAGGCTTGTGGCCAGGGTAGGATGAAGTTGAAGGCCTAGGTGGGGAAAAGGACCTCACAAGGAAGTCAAAGAGCACTCCCTGGCAGGCCAGTTCAACTCCAGAAAAGGCATATCAGAGGTGGTGTATTCAAGGTGAAGAACCTGGCATGGAAGAACATTGCTCATTCCTCAGACCTACAGATGGCAGGGGGTTAGCTTTGGCTGCTGCCCCAGCAGGAGGGTTGGGATTCCTCTTCTGTTTCTGTCCCAAAGCTTTGACCTATGACAGTCACTTGAAACATTATCTTCCTGCCTGACTGGTTTTTAGAGTGATAATGGGGACTCTGTGCAGAGGGTGACCCGCCTGGGAGTGGGCACAGCAGCAGCTCTGGGTGGGGTAGAGAGTGAACTGGAGCCCAAGCAGAGAGGATGGTAGGTGGGGCAGGTAAGTCCTGCTGTTGCAGGATACCAGGGCATCCTACACCCAAACTCAGCCCCCATGAAAGAAGCTATGAGGCACCAGGATTTCTCTGTCACACTCAGAAAGCCTGAGGTGACCTGAGTCCACAGGGAACTGGACCTGACACTTCCATAATGCTTTCAGGAGGGGGCAAGGAGGGCCTCACAATGGCAAGTGGGTTTTTGGGTTTGAGGGTTTTGATTAGGAGATAGGGTCTCACTCTGTCACCTAGGCAGTAGCATGATCATTGCTCATGATCATAGATCATAGAACTGCTAGGCTCAAGTGATCCTTCCACCTCCACTAGGCATGACCCACAGTGCCCAGCTGAGGGAGCACTTTTGGAAGTGAACTCCTCAGGCCAGGGTGCCCATGCACCTACTTCTCTCCACCTCATGCCTCTGAGCAGCAGACCACCATTATTGCTCTCCTGGCCACCTAGAACAGTGTCTCACTCCCCAAACTCCTCCTCAACCAGAGCTGTAGGGGCTTGGAAAGCTTCAACACCAGATCACATCGCCCATCCCAAACCTATCTCCCAGTGCTAGAGAAACATTCAAACTCTTCACCATGCCCATAAGGCCTCCATTGTCTCTAGCCTCATGGCCTCTGATTCCCCTTACTCTGATCAACTCCTACCTGTCCCCTATGAAGCCCCCCTCACTCCCCTTAGTATTTGAAGCCTCTCACACCAGGTGGTTACAACTGGAGCTCTGAGAACACTTTCCCCTGGGCTAAAAGAGAAGTGGGGCAGTGGCCATTGGATAAATCTGATTTACAGTGAGGCCCACTACCCTGCCGACCCCATGTCCAAAAGACTTAGAGGACACAGTACTCAGGGTGAAGGGGGAGTCACAGCCATAGCTGCATACCCCAAATTCACCAGCCTGCCAGCAAATGGTCCCTGGGTCCAAAATCAGCTCTAGCTGTGACTTCCTCCCCTAGGCCTATTTCCTTCTCTGGACAAGGGAGATAGTAGCAGGATGGCCCATCAAAGGAGCATGTGCTGAAGTGAGGCGCTAAGCTCAGCCCCTCTCAGGGAACGGGGGCTGAGCTCTAGGGCCCCTGGAGAGGCGGAGGCAGGTGGTCGGGTCGATGAGGACTTAACCGATGGTCTGTTTAATCATTCATTAAGGGATGGTCTGCCGGTCTCCTTTGGCAACGCAGCTTAATCGCCCAGCAAGATGCCAGGCGGGCCTCGATCTCCCCAGCCCCATCCCTGTAATACTCCTGCTTCTGGTTCCCAATCCCCACCATGCCCCTGCCTTCAGTTCCAGGCGCCATCTCAGCCACATCCCAGCTTCAGGTATCCCTCCCCTGGCCCCATCCTGGCTATGCCTGGCTCCAGCGTCCAGCTCCCCAGCTGACCTGAGGAAACGCCGCTCCTCGGGCGCCTCCTCCGGGTCCGGGACAGTCGCACAGCTCATGGCCGAGGAGAGCGAGCACGCGCAGCCTGACCACCGCGCTACAACCTTATAAGCAAATCCCCACCCACAGGGGCATCTCCCCCCTCTGCGTGGCCTCCAATCAGGAGACGCCGCGAAAACGCTGCGCGTCGCCATTGGTCGTTGGGTGCAGGGGACCTTAACCTTTTCGTGCCAAGAGCGGAGCTGCCTGACGGACCAAGAAGTCCAGAGGCGCCGGAGATTATCGGCAGGGAAACCAAGTCTGGAGGGCAGTTATCCCCTTTATGTAACCCTGATCTGAGAGCAATGGACCCTCTCCCTAGCCAACCCCCTCCAGGTCTCCCCCACCTGCGGATCCCCGTGGAAGTCAGATCCAGATCTGATCCAGAGCCCTCAGTCCTGAGAGGTGAGCGGGGCTGCTGACACTCAGGGCTTCCACAGGGAAGTAGGAAAGTTCGAACAGCGCCTGGGGCTCAAATAAGTAGGGCGCTGGCCCCAGATACCGGAGGTGGCAGGTTCAAACCCAGCCCCGGCCAAAAACAGCAAAAAAAAAAAGAAAGAAAAGTCCAGACATATTGGGGAGCCAAAGCCAAGACTGGTGTGGATCCAGGGGCAGCCCTCAGTGAGTTGTGAGGTCACCCAGCATCATGTCTGGTAAGTTCCCTGGTGCCAAGCTGGACCATCCCTGTCCCCTTCCCCAGGACAAAGGCAGGCAAGGTCTCCAGAGTGTTTATTCTCTCTAAGTGGGGATGGTCGGTATCCAGGAAGCTGAGGGCACAGGTCCTATGTGTAGCACACGTAGCCATAGTTGGCATTGACAAGCTCCTCGGTGGGGCGCAGCACGTACAGCTCCTGTACAAGGGGCGACACCCAGCGTGTTGTGTGGAACACTGATTCACCCACCTGTGGGGACAAGAGGGTATAAGTTGGGGAACAGCCACTCCCACAAGAGCTACTGGGACCACCATTTCCTTGCCAGGACCCATGGCCTCTGTATACCTTTCTCCTCCTTGGACCTGGTAGTCCCCACCCCTCAATCCCTGGTTTTCTGTAGGAGCCTATGTGAGTCATTTTGGCTCTATTTCTGCAGTGGCCAGGACCCTTACCCTCCAGGAACCCACCTTCCAATCAGGTACATCTTTCATGATGATGGCTTCCTCCTCCAGGTTCTCCCGAAGTATCTGCAAGATCCTGCAGGGGTGGAGATGGCAGTAGAGGCAGGGTGAGAACCTGGAAGGGGCCCTGCCAAGCATACCTTCCACTACCTACTCCTCACCAATTGCCCCTTCCTTTCCTTTCCCTCCCCCACCCAGCAAATTATTTTTTCTCCTGCCACAGCCCAATGCACTCCCAGTCTTCCCAGTCCCCACTCCTTGCTGGGTCTCTACTAAGTCTCCAGCCCTCCTCAAGGGTAGTGATGGCAGCTCTATGCATTCAAGGATGCAGCAGATGATCCCCATGTGCATTAAGACCACTGTCCATGACACAAGTCAGGCCCTGCTGGCTAGGGGCCTTTAGTCCTGAGACCTCCCAGCCCTGGCCCCAGCAGCCCTACCTCCGGTCCTTCTCTGCCAGGAACAGTGGCATCAGGGCAATGCGGGCCTCCAAGTCCTCAATCAGCAGGCGCCTATGAAACCCCGAAATTGACACTTGGGTCAGACCAGGCCAGGGATAGATGACCTGGACCTTAGCCTTCTAGGGCACTGCGTTGGGAAGGGGTGAGGACAGGCAAGAAGGGAAGGGGGAGCTAGTGTGCAGCCCTGAGATGTAGGCGAGTGGGCGGGTAGCTCCCTGGGCAAACTCCCACAAGACTGTTGTCTTCACACTTTCTTTTCAATTAAAAACTTTTTAATCCTAAAAATAGCCCTGCCTGATGATTGCAATAAAGGGGGTTGAGAATTTAATCACGGGGCTGTGGGCCTTACAAAACCACATCCCCTGCATCTCAAAATAACCACAGGGCCAGAGGCCAGGGCAGACAGCATCATTCATTCCTGTCTTCTCCCTGCTTTCTGGCAGTTTCCAAATCCCCTGAAATGAGCCTTAGCCCTGTTTGTGCTATTGAGACCTAGAGGGTAGCAGTGCCCAGTGATGTGGTCCCAAGAGTGGCCTCTGGCCTGTCTTCTTTGCCTGTGTACCTGTGTCTAATCTCTAAGACATTTTTATCATCCTTGACTGGTCACTACTAACATAAAACTGCCACTGCAGGCCCCTCCACTTAATTTGCTATCCTAACCTGGACCCATGGGTTTCCAGCTCCAGAGGTCAACTACACCTAGCTAACTTTTTAGTTTTTTTGTAGAGATGGGATCTTGCTATGTTGCCCAGGCTCACTAGACATTTCATTAGGCTAAAGTCTAGAAGTGGAAATGGTGATGACCTAACAGAGGCACTTTTTTTTTTGAGGTGGTGTTATGTCACCCTCAGTAGAGTGCAGTGGCGTCACAGCTCACAGCAACCTCAAACCCTTGTGCTTAAGTGATTCTCTTGCCTCAGTCTCCCAAGTAGCTGAGACTACAGGCACCTGGCTATTTTTTGGTTGCAGTTGTCACTGCTGTTTAGCAGGTCCGGGCTGGGCTCGAACTTGCCAGTCTTGGTGTATATGGCCAGCGCCATTCAATGAGCTACAGGCACCAAGCCCTAACAAAGGCACTTTACAGACACCCCACCTGGGGGCCCTACCTGCGTTCTCGATTCCACTTCATCATGCTCCAGTACCCATAGAACAAGGTCCCGATACCTATGGCCAGCATGCTATAGCCTACGGAGAGAGAAAGGTTCCTGCTCAGCACTGGAAAACCTGGGATCTCCCTTAGACACCCATATCAATAGCTTCCAGCTGCTGTCACCCTCTCTACAGTCAGGTGACACTGGCAGCTTCTCTCTCACAGGTGAGGTTCTCTGAGCTGCCAAAACTTTGCCCCTATGCTGGGGCTTCTGGAAAGTATAGGCCAGGCAGGGAATGCAGGAAGGCTAAGGGTGTAGACCAGTGGTTCTCAACCTTCCTAATGCCATGATCCTTTGTGGTGACCCCCAACCATAAAATTATTTTTGTTGCTACTTCATAATTGTAATTTTGCTACTGTTATGAATCGTAACGTAAATGTCTGATATGCAGGATATATTTTCATTGTTACAAAGAGGTCACAACCCACAGGTTGAGAATTGCTGGTGTAGACATTAGTGGTTGGGTGGCCCCAGCTCTACCATCATTGAAGAGGTTGTTTGGACCTTAGTCATCATCAGGCTAGCCCCCACTGGGAAGGGTGGCTCCTGGCCACCTGGGCCGCTGCCCTGCTGCTATCTATAGGGAGATGCCAAAGACAGGCAGTGCCCTTTGAGGGCCCCACAGCCACCTCATGGGCTCTGAGGGCGGCACTGCTATCTCCTATCACTGCAAGGTCAAGCCCCCTGCCTTGTACCCTGGGGGGGCGGGGGGATAGAAGTCACCATGAATATTTACTGAGCACCAGCAGAAGCTCTGCTCTAATCCTGACTTGACAGAGTAGGGATCCACTAGGCCCTAGGGTCCTCAGGGAAGCCTGGGATGCTTAGGGTATGCCTCTCATCCTCATCCCGCATGCCTCAAATCTTTTGAATCTTGGTTTCTTCTCTGGACAGGCCTCCTGGTTCCAGGGACAGATTAGGCTCCAGTTAACACTCAGTGAATGACCAGAAGATGGTGGGTATGGCCATCCTTGGGGCCCCTGGAGGTTGGGGTTTTGCTCGGTGCCCATGGGAGGCTGCTGGTGTCCATGTGCTGCTCTTTCTTCTTTAGCTTGGCTCCATACAGGACTCAGTGGGCACCTCTGCTAGATCCAGAGATAAATGAGAAACTGATCCTTTTTTTTTTTTTTTTTGCCCTCAGTAGAGTGCCGTAGCATTACAGCTCACAGCAACCTCAAACTCTTGGGCTTAAGTGATTCTCTTGCCTTGGCCTCCCAAATAGCTAGGACTATAGGTGCCTGCCACAACGCCTGGCCATTTTTTTGTTGCAGTTGTCATCGTTTAGCTGGCCTGAGTTGGGTTTGAACTCGCCGGCCTCAGTGCATGTTGGCCGGCGCCATAACCACTGTGCTACGGGTGCCAAGCCAGAAACTGATCAATTTTTTACCCATGGAGTTCAACATGTTAAAAACATAAGCTCAGGGTAGGACATTGCAAAGTTATGGGGAGTAGGGATTGGACAGTGAGGATATGGTAGGTTGTCCAGGCTGAGGCATAATCTCTCCAAAGAGACCCTAAGTGCTCAGGACCACTTCCCAGATGGATGCCTGCATTGGACACTCAGCATGCAGGCCATTAGATAGGACTTTTCTTTCTTTCTTTCTTTTTTTAGACGGAGCCTCAAACTATCCCCCTGGGTAGAGTGCCATGGCATTACAGCT